GTGGTTGCAAGACTTTTAGATCAAGTGATGAGATAAGGTGTTTTTGTTTGGAGTTAAGGGCCTTTTTTTGAAGAGTGGCCTCCAGTAAGAGCTTACTAGTTAGTAAGTTACACCTAGCAATTGCATTTTCATTCATAAATATTTCTGTGCACCTCTGGATGAAATGGAATATTACAGCCTTAGTACTGATCCAAACATCAAAAACTTTTCCCTTTACACAGGGTCTCACCTTGAACCTGGTGCACACTCCATTTGTGTTGCTACAAAAACAACTAAATACACTTTATTCAGGCTTGTACAGGCCACAGGCAGAATTCTTTGCCTTTCTAAAGGAAACCTGCCTGCAACCTACAACATCTCTCAGCCCCAGGGCTCTAAGGATACCCTGGTCCATTCACAGAAATTAGAAGTGGAAAACATTTGCTAAAGGCTTCCATACCCTCAGGGAAACATCGTTAAGCAAAGCTGGCTTGAGGCACCTTGGCAGCAGTGCCAGAATTGTGTATTCCGACCGGCAGATATCCAGGCTAGCTGCTCCTGCAGGTCGGCGGGGGTGGTGACCACTGCTGTCAGAGCAGCTCTCCTCACTTCCAGCAGTAGCCACCTTCCCACATAGGCCAATGTCTTCTTCTGCCTCTTTTGCAGAGCACAGGCCTAGACAAAACAGATAACGTCACCCCAGACCACTGCCTTTTTCTCCTGTGCCTAAAACTGCTCTGTCTCCAGCACAGAAAGAAACATTTAAAGAAGAAGAAAAAAGGAGAAACAGCAAAAACAAAACTTTCAAATAGACAGATGTAATTTTAATACAACAGACAATCAATCCGACTGTGGATATCTGCAGCGCTCAGATAATTTTCAGCTGATGACAAATAGTAAAAGTGTTAGGCAATAGGTTTGGAAAGGCCACACAAGATGGAATTCTCTCTTAGCGCAATACAATGCAGATTACATAGGGGGGAAAAAGTCAAAACAGTTAGCTTGGGTCCAGCCAAGAAACTTTTGCATTGAAGCTGCCAGTGGCCTCAATCTTTCTTTGTGCAAGTGATTTCATCTGTCAAAGTGATATTGTATACATATCCTGAGCAGATATGTCAATAAGAATAGATCAGCTCTTCTTGGTGGAGTGGGAAGGGAGAGATGAGGGAAAGGGATATAAGTGCATCAGGAAAACAATGTCTGAGTTGCTACCTGGGAGAAGTTTACAGTTACACATACAGAATGGGCAGATATGAAAAGGAAGATAGAGAGGTATATAACACTTTGTGCTCATTTCTCAGAATAGCTTCACAGCTATACACCCAGGGCTGTGGCCACCTGCCTGGCAAATAATGAGCTTTAGTCAGCCCTGACCCCCAACCATTACCTTCCTAATGAGCACCAAAATTCATTGGCTCAACAGAGAGGAAAAGCGTGTTCCAGAACAGAAACCAAGCACTACCAAATTAAATGGATAAAGAACAATTCTGTTTGCAAAACCTTTGCTTAGCACTCTGAACGGGGAATTCTTTACTTTGTGTTCTGCTGCAGATTTGCACAAGAACATTTGGTGGCAAGAAGAGTTTCCCTCTCACGGTGGGGGCTGGGGAAATTAAATGCATCTTTGCCCCCTCTCTTCTTTACTAGAAGAGCCCAGGCAGCTGTTCAGTGGAATACTAGATAACAGCCATATAAGCACGATAACCCTGCCTCATTCCTTTTATTTATTAAGACTACTCACCAGAAGACCTTGCTGTTATTCTTACTCATGTCCTCAGCACCTGACCATAAACCCAGGTGAGGAGCAAGTTAAATGCTATAGCTGGAACCAGACATTTCAGCCAGACCACCCAGTTTACTCACAGTGAAAATACAGCGCGCTTTTCATGTCATGGTCCTGTTTTCATCCCTGCTGCGCCATTTGATAGGGATGAACGCACCAGCCGTTTGCAAGAATTTGTTCAACACAGTTCTGCAGAAATGCCTCAGATAGTTTATTAGTAACAAGACTAAACTAGCAGCTGTGGGCCTCCAGATCCTTGGGCCCTAAAACACAGCACTGAAAAGGCGTGACATCAACTATGTCAAAAATTTACTTGCTTTGAAATCCTGCTCCTGCTTATTTATGTTACAGGAGTACCTAGAGGCCTCAACCAAGCCAACATCTGCCCTACGAAGCCATGTCTGCTGTACACTGACAGAGAAACTGCATTTGCTCCTGCGATGGCCACCTCCATATATAGCTCATGCCCTGTGGCCAGTAACAAGTAACACAGTTTACTATAGAAATAAATAACGGCCACAGCCTAGGTTTTGAGGTGAAAAGGTACAACAGCAGGATGGGCAGACTGTCTCTCAGAAGCCAAAACCCTGTGTCCAGAGCAGGACCCCGCTGGGCTAAGCCCCATACGCATATAGGAAAGGTTGTTAAACTAAACAGACAGATAGATCTAAGATTAACTCTTGGGAAGGATGAAATCAAAAGGTAAAATAAGAGGTTCCAGCACACCAGTGACATGTTAAACCGTTAACCCAATGGACTATCTATGAGCCGAGAGCATTTTTCACTGCTGTTACCCTGAGCAGTGCCAGGCTGCTAACACAGCCTTCTGGGACCTTTTGCCTTTCAAAGGGGCAGGTCTAACTAGCAGCAACAATCAGCCCAGTCAACAGTTAAGCATGAGAACTGAGATTAGCAGGAAGGGAAGGAGAGTTAAATAATTGAAGGGACATTTAAGCATAGCTCAGTAGATTTTGCACTATAATGCAAGTGAAAAATCAAAGATTTCCTCCTTGAATGCAATAAGGTATCATTTTCTTATTTCAAAGTCATCTACTTGCTTCACCATCCAGCTCTGCACTTCCCAAATGTACTGCTAGGAACAGGGTGTTGTAAACAAAGTTTTACAAAAAAGGAAGGTTAGCACACAACATATTTTTCCCATTACTTCAATGCATCCTGCGAGCTTTGCAAGCTTGGTAAAGAAAGAGTCTATTTAAAAATCTGGGGTGGGGAAGAATTAGCTCAACAAAACCATAAACAGATTTTCTTCACACTTTTAGTCCAAGAGAAAAACAAGACAGACTATGTGCAATTGATGCACACAATAGCACAATCATTTTAAAAACAAATGAATTGGGAGGGAGATGGCATCAGAGAAGGGTGGGGAAAAAAGGAAGAGCTGAAAAATTTGGCCACGTTCTAAGAGCAGAGACCCTGAGAGTTTGGTTCTTAAAGTTCTTAAGAAGATATTGGAAATCCCCCATGTGCTAGAGCTGGACTATGAGCATGCAGAGAGGATGACACATGTTGCTATAATGCCATGATCTATCTCTGTGCGCAAACCCTTAAGTCATAACCTACATTATTTTCTGCAGATGCAACACAAAGGAATCTATTCCACTTACCCAGTGACCTTCCACACAAATCATCCAGATCCATTTACTATTTTTCAGTGACAAATACTAAGAGGTATAAAACTTAATTCCCTTCTCCCTATTCTCTCCCCCATGAGGCCCCGACTCAGTTTACCAATACAAGCCAGAGTGGCAGAGTTAAGCTATGAAGGAGCTTTACCCCACTTCTCTCACCAAATTCTCTATTTAGAACGGTAGGACAACTCCAAGTTGCGTGAGAGCAACAACGTTCACTGCACTTGCAGGATTACTAATATAAAGTATTTGAGGACTCATCTAGTATGCAATGAATCAAAAATCTAGGCTACTTGAAGGAGGACAATTCTCAGGAGACTAGTACATCATTTGCTGCAGCAGAGTCCATTAGTTTGTTTCCATGAGCTTAGCAGACTAGATTTAGTCCGCAGACCTGGGAAGGTATCAGGAAAGCTAGCTAAAATAAACAGCATCAGTCCAGTGGTTGCAGTCCCAACAGGGTCACTGATTATTTATTAAAATCTGACAGCAACCAGTCTCCAAGCACAGCACAAGACGGGTAGAAATTATTCTAGGTTTTGAAAAATCACCTTTTCCATAGGGATATTGTCATTTATCACACAATCATGAACTGGGTGAAGTAAACGAATTCCCCACCAGCTAATAGCTGCTCATAAAGGCTTAACCATGGAGCTGCAGTTCTTACAAATTAAATGGCTTTGCTCTGGCATGACATCCAGTTTCTTCTTCAAAGCCCTGGAATGGCATAATGGGAAAATGGAGTATTATTTCCAAATATGCATCTTCTAGCCACAGATTTGCAGAAGCCAAGGGGGAAACACATCACCTTCATGAAACTCCCTCACCCCCAAAACACCAGATGAGCATTTATTAAGTTTTATGGATTCTTACATTTGAGGGAAAAGAAAAAAAGCCAGTGGTACAGCACAAACGTATGTGGGAACAAGTCAGGCAAAGAGGACAAACGTACAGGACACCTGGACTCTGTCCTGCCCAAGGCATCACATTCCAAAGCAAAAAAACTTAGCCTCTTTCTTTAGAGACCACAAGCATAACCCAAGATCTATACCAAGCATGAAGCAGAGCATGGTTTGACTTCCTCAAGGGTTAACAGAGCAAACCATTATGTGATCATTTATTTCAGCCATCAGGCTAGAAAAGCCTTCATAGGAGAATCCTTTTAATCACTCTGAAGCCCAGAAGAAGGAATTTCCCTCCTTTCCCT